ATTTCCATTGATTCCAACATGTGCAGGTGTGCATGGTTGCATAGTGCATGTCTTTCCCATCTTGTTGATTGTTTCTAATTGTTGGTGTATATCCTGGGTGAGTCTTGAATGTCCTTGCAGTATTGCCTTTAGGGTAGCTTTAGAGTCACAGTAAATTACAAGCCCTCTGGCTTTATGATTTTCGTTTAGTTGTAACAATGTAAATTCGCATCGTCTCATGAATTGCTCTTTTATTCAGATGTGAAATTGGAAGTGATATTGCCTGTTCCATGGCTTTAGAATATAGTTGCCCCATTTGATAGAGTGATGTGAATATCTGCTCCCCCCTATAGTCTCATCTGATGAACCATCTGTGTAAATGTTTACCAAATCAGCTCCCAAAAAGGACTCAATTGTTTGAGTATTTTTTGCTTGGATAACAGCTTCAGTTTTCTTTTATGTACAATGTTCCACTAGATCGCGATTTATTTTGGTGTTAATAGGAATGTAAGAGGGCAGGTTAGGCACTTGAAGGACAGTATAAGTGTCATGTTTGAGAGCAATATTTTCTCTGATCTTATTGTCATATTTCAGAATAGATGACCTTTTAAGTCTTGACATGTTGTTTCAATTTCCAAAAGCCCGTCTGGAGATGTGCCCCGTGTCTCGTCTCCTGGCCTTGTTTATAAACTTGTGTGTGAGACATTTCCTTGTCTGTAAAAGGGTTTGCAGTCCACATGCCTGTTCTGCCTTAATATTGCTGGTAGGTGAAACAGCTTCAGATATTATTTTGGCTACTCTTGCCTGTATCTTGTCAAGTTTCCCCAATGCAGTCTCAGAAGCATGTGCCCAAATAGGTGCTGCATAGTTAAGGTTTGCCCTTATCAGTGCAATGTAAGTAGATTTTAGTGTTTTCAGAGTGGTTAAACGTAGGCTTTTCAGAATTTGAATTTTCTATAGTGCTTTGTTGGAGCAATTTTCCAGATATGTAGTGAAACGTAGCTCAGCATCTAAGGACCCAGATATTTTAGATTATCTGCCTTAGTAATTGGCAAACCATCCATTAATATGGTAGGTTGAAAAGATTTTCTGTGTTTTCGATCTGTTGAAAAAAATGCATAGCTTCTTTTGAGAGGTTAATTTTAGCTCTCATGACCAAGCCAGAATTCCACCATGAGATTGGATTAATGATCTCTCGGACTTTTCTGTGTCTTTGCTTGTGTGCCAGATTGCTGTATCATCTGCGTAACAAGCAGCTCTAGTGTCCCCTTCGAGGAGGTGGTGAATATTGTTTACATACAAAAGGAATAGCAGGCGTCTGAGAAAAAAGGGAAGAATGTGTGATAACAGTTAATATAATATTCATGTAGTAACAATACCTTCATAATTTGAAGGCACTGGTTTATATTATCCCATTGTGTTTATTCCATTTGTGTATAATATTTAATAAAGATACAGGCATAATTTTGGAAAACCTAGTTACTAAAACATTTAAAAAATTCTGGTATTTTTGTCTTTTTTGTACATACAGTCAAAAGTCGTTAATTTGGACACCCATAATCCGGAATGATCTATAATCCGGACCTCAAAGCTACAAACTTTCTGCACATGCGTCGCGTTCACGCATACGCACAGGCGTTTACGAGAGCGCGTAAGACCCTTACGCGGCGAATATTTTGTGCGCATGCGCGTTTAAATTGTAACGAGTTATACGCTAAGCTAATAATTTACTAATTCAATAATTTAAGTTATTATATAAGTTATTAATTATAAGTTATCTAATTCAGTTAATGTTGCCGATTGCGTTGTTCCTTAGTCTTCGAATTGGATCCGGCTTATTATTTTTGCAGCTGCATTTTTATAAATAGAGCAATTTTATAAAAGTAAGCTTGAACTTTCGTTATGTCAAATAGAATTTCCGATATATATTTACTACAAGCGACAGTATGTTTTGAAATCCGAAATCTGTTTATCAATTTCACGCTGCTCTGCGGCAGAGGGGGGGGGACAGAAACGTCATTATTAGTTATGATAGATTAGAAATTGTGTAAATAGAATTTCCGATGTATATTTACTAATATGTAATTTGTATCTACAAATGAAAGTATATGTTTGAGATCCGAAATCTGTTATCATTTTCACTGCGGCGGATTGTTGATCTTGCACACTATCCTTATCTTAGTGCAGATGTTTTTATTTTATTTGGTTTATAATTTACTAAGTGTAGTATTTCATTCTGTCTTTGAATGATTTAATCAAGTTTCCTCGTTATAATCGCTTCCATAGTGAAGAAAGTGACCCAGAGGTTAGGAAAACGACAACATTTCGATTGACAATTAGTCGGTATTCTCACCACACAATTATAGGACTTGAACAGCGGAACTTTGTAACTAACAGAAATTATGTCTGTTTATAGAATTAAGAGAAAGTATTATCCCATGAAACGAAGCAACTTACGTGAAGGAAATGTTGAAAAGTAAACAAATAATATTAAGCTTTTTCTTTTTGTAAATTTTGATACCTTTGATCATAATTGTTCTTTTTTCAATAATTACGGTTTCATATTTTTAATTTTGTAATTTCTGCATGCCATGTTACCAGATTTAAACTGATGATCTATAATCCGGAAAAATTGATAATCCGGAATCGCCGAAGTCCCGACGAGTCCGGATTAACGACTTTTGACTGTATACTAAAAGGGGAGGATACTTTTCATAAAAATTACAATTAATTTCTTACTCTTTGAAACCTTTATAGCTTAATTCTAATTTTCAGTCTTAGTAGCCTTATGATGTGATTCTGGTTTAGAAAAATAATGCAAATATATGAATAATGAATATTTGCTGAATATTTTATACTTTTCTATGTTGAATTTACTTTGTTTTAATTATCTTAACACATAGTCATTTGGAGACCATTTTTTTATTCTAAATTGACTGTAATAGTTTTATAAATGTTGCATAAATTGTTTTATACTTTTCCACAATTGATTATGTGACATATTCTCCTTTTCTCTACTTTCAGTCTGATGAAGTATACCTTGAAGCCCCACTTCAAAATATTACATATGCTCCTATGTGTTTAGAAAAAGTTGCTTTGGAACCTTCAGCCAGTTTTTCAGCACGCCAACTAAATTCAGTAGAAGACAAGAATGGGTATAATATGAAAAGAGTTGGCTTTTTTAAAAAAATTTAATTTTTAATTAAAAAGTGTATTATTGTGTGCATAAAACAATCAGTGTAGCTAATTTTAAAAATTTGTTTGTTTCACTTTTTTCCCAAATTTTTAATATTGTAGAATACATCCTGTTTTTGGAGAAGTGAATTGCTTGAATCCTTTAGATAGCAGACAATATTTATTTTGTTTAACTCCTAAACCTGAAAGCCAAATTAATGCAAAGCTACTGAAAGGTATAACCAGCATTGGAAAGTTGGATATTGTGTGGAGAACAAGTATGGGTGAGAGAGGACGTTTACAGACATCACAGTTAGAAAGAATGGTAATGAGTTTTTCTTTCATTAAATTTTGGATCTGAATAAAGAGATCAGAATTTGTTTTGTTTTCATACTAATTTGAATCCAGTTATAGATATAAATACTTAACTGGAAGAAAGATAGTATTATTGTTTTTAATTAATAGCAGGAATAGTGATATGTAGAAATTTTAGGGAATTAATAATCTTAGGGCTCAAAAATGGAGTCTTCATAGTTCTAAACTTCACCATTTAATAATTGCATCCATTTAATAAGCAGTTAAATGCTTTCATATATTTAATTCCCAAACAAACTTCAGTCTTTGAATTTACTATTCAAATCATATATTAAAATTTGCTTTCTTTTAAATTTAGTTTGTTTAATAATACTGAACAAAATGTAATTTACTGAGCTCAAAGGGAATTAATATAAGTTAATGTATTGAAGAACTCATTGTAGTGTACTCAGTTTCACTTAAAAACATATGCATATCCATTTCTATTTTGGATTAAAAAATTATCATATATAGTGATAATAAGGTGTTTATGCGAAGCTTGAGGGATATCAGTACAAGTATGTCTTATCATTTACTGCTATCATAGTTTCTACATTAAAAAATAAAAGGCATATAGTAATATACTGCATTTTGTGCCATTTCTCCTGTAGCATGGCAGAAAACTTGTGGTGGTATTAAAGTGACCTGGTCTTACAATTAGTGGTGTTAAGGTGGCACCCAAAGGTGTTGAGTTATTGCCTTTGGATCAGCTAGTTGTGTTGATTCACTTTCATTTCCTGAAATCATGTAATTGTTATCTTTGCTTTATACATGATGAATCATCATACTGAAAAATAGTGGCCAGTATTTTCAGACTTCTAGCACAAAGCAGGCAGAATAGAGTAGTCTAGTACAGTATAAAATTTGAAATCTAGGTGTACAGTAACCAAACCTACAGCCCACAAATAAATTTGTTTTTTCCCTTTTTAGAATTTTCTTTCTTTACAAAGTCTATGAATGGAGTTATGATATTCAGTAAAAAGCAGGTGAAACTGAAAAGTAATTTTTCTGTGGTTTAACTGAGATTGTTGCATGTCACTGTCAAAAGCCTGCTGGCTAGGAACTTACACCCTCGCCAATGGCAGTACATTCATTTACATTGGGCCCAGTCATAATTTTCAGCTTTTGAGTGTGGCTGTGAAGGGGTTAGCATTTTTCTATTTGACCTAAACAGTAAGTAAAGTCCTAAGACATATTTGTTTTGAATGGGAATGTTGTTGATATTTGTTTTCTGTTGTTGTCAGAGTAGTGAAAAAAGTATAAAGAGTTAAATTCTGAAGATTCTGCTGCTTATAGCTTAAAAATGATGTCAGTATGCCTGCCATTCTCTTATAGAAATCCCAGTTCTTATGAATATGTTGTGACTACTGGCTTATCCATTATTGCTAATAGATTGCATTATTTGGTGATATTGTTGGAAATGGTCTGACAAAGTATGTAAGTACCTTTTCTGATTAATGGAAATTTGTGAAGTGATAATAAATGAAATTGATGTAACGCAAGTTTGCTGTTGCGATGACAGTATCTCAAGCATTGATGAACTAATGGTTTGGGAAATTCGCAACATTGTTTAAAATCCAGAATCTATCTCTACTGATAGTGAAGAAAATAACAAAGAGGTTGAGAATAAAAAGATTTTGATTGACAGTTTGGTGGAAATTCTCATTGTGGCACTTGAACATGGAATTTTATAACTGAACAAAAAATTATATATATTGAATAGAATGTATTAGCACAAAAAAAAAAAAAAAAAAAACCCGTTTATTAAAAGAAATATTTCCTGAAACAAACAAATATTAAACTTTTTTGTAAATTTTGATTCCATGGTCATAAGTACTTCACTCACAACTTCATAAATACATCTTCATATATAACTATTTAATATTTTTAATTTTAGAATTTCTACACGTCATCTTGGTAAATTTGAATTATTGATCTAAAATCTGGAATTGCCAGAGTTGCCAGACTTCTGAATCTCAAACTTTGTACTGTAATTGCAACCTGAAGTGATCCTAAATATATCTTTAAAATGATAATAAGTTCTTGTTCTTGAAAAAGTGTTTTTAATGCAAAAATATGGATGAAAACAAATATATGCCAAATGAATGCATGTTAGTTCAGAAATTATTTAGAACTTCTGTATAGTTTTTAACCTTCTCTGTTGTAATGCAAATCACTTAAATTGAGTTACAAAGTAATTCTTTCTTATACTCTTTTTTGTCTTTTTTTTTTTTTTTTTTCATACATTTTACTGTGAAAATTTAAAATTGCTTACTTATACCTTTAAAAAGCATTTGAAGCCTTCTTCATTTTTTTAGTCTGTTGATTTTTAATGAAATTTTAAATCATATTATCATGTGTTTTTGTAAATGTGCAATAAAACAATAAACTTTTATAGATTTTTAAAATTTTATCATTTAAATAGGCCCCTGGGTATGGAGAAATTCGAATGGCTGTGCATGAAATTCCTAGCATAGTAACTTTAGAGAAGCCATTTCCTATTACAATTAAGATTACAAATGCTTGGTAAGAGTATAACATTTTATTAATTATGTAATCTTTCTTATATTTTTGTTTTAATTTATGGCAGGCATATTTTAAATGATGGGTTTTAAATTGTTTAGATAGAATTTTCTTTAAAAAAATTAACATTCAGAAGGGTAAATTTTATGCATCATTTTCTGGTTCCAATTTAAAAACAATTGCAGTTAAATAACCTGATAAATGATTGTCCCAAATGTAATATAATTTGTAATTTGAGTGCTTTAAATATACATTCAAACCTGTTTCTCTGCAGTCTCTCTCTCTTCGTCCTCTCTTTTTTTTTTTTTCGTGTGTGTGTGTGCAGTTGTTTATATGTGCGATTTTATTTATTTATTTATTTATTTATTATTTTTTGTGCGATATATGAAAATTTCTATCAAACTGAAACATAATTGATGAAGTTATCAATGAAATCTTGTATATCTGGATACTGAGACATACACAGATGTCTAACAAAACGGCAGTCGCCACAAAAACTAATCATCAACTACATGGTATCTAAAAAAAGTCAACTCTAAATGAGTGCAAGGTAGTATCTCTAAGTGAAAAAAGCAAGTTTGAACCAGTTTACCACAAGAAAGTTTGCATATTGTAAGACTACAAAGAATAATGGTTATATGTTTTGAAAAGTTTTGTATCTGTAAAATAAGTACATATGTAAATAAAATCTTTTAAAATGTTCACATGTGTATTTTCTAAATCAGGTTCTGAAAGGTTTAGTGAGATTCCAAGTAGCCGCCGAGCCCTGTGTCTTGATTTTGTTTTAAAAAGCAATTCCTAAGGTTCTTTTGTAAGGTTTTTGAAATATTTTCTACATGAGACTTTTTTAGGCGATCACTATTTATCACATAAAAAAATACTTTTTAATTGCATTCCAAAAACTATTTTTCTAGCTAGGTAAGTTTTGTGTGATTTTTTTTTATGCATTTTCTTTTATGCAATTCCTAACCACGGCCCCCAAACAGATTTGACTGAAGTGTATAAAACTAGTCTAAGAAATAAATCTTTTTTTATAAGCTTAGTCAGCAAGTTTGTCAGCAATTTTTAAGCTGTTTCCTGGTGAGCTAAGTGAAAAAAGCTCAAATTTTGCACACACACTATTTTTTTATCATAGTACTGTGTGGTAAAGCAAGTTTTACAAAATTTGATGATTTTTAAAAATTTAATCTTGAAAGGATTTTTTGCTTTGTTTAATAAACAAAATAAAAATTTCAAAATTTCACCTTTAAGTAGGCAGGAAAATTTTTTTTAAATTTTATGAATTTATTGAAATTTAAAAAAATTTTATGAAATGAAATAGCTAAGCTTGAAAGTATTTTTTACATATAGCTTTGTTTAATAAATAAAATAAAAATCTCCAAATTCACCTTTAAATAGGCAGGAAAAAATGTTTTAAATGAAATTTATATGAAATTTTAATTTTCTGGTGAATTTTTTAATATCACTTGATATTTTTGTATGTTTGATATCCATTATTTTAAAATTTCAACCTCTAAAACTTAATACTAGAGTATATCTGGTACTTAGATATAATCTAAAAGTATATCTGGTATATGATCAGCTGAATATGCCCAACAAAACTCTAATAATTTGGAACAATACCTTTGGGAAGTTTGAGCTCATAACATTCTAAACAGACTTTCTGGTAAAATTGGAAGGCCAAACAAAATTGTAAAAATCAACGGAAGCCTTTTCTGAGGGCGCAGAAACAAAAAGCAGGTCCAATTGTTTATTATCAGTTCCTTTAGAATACCATTGGAATGATTGGCACAGATTTGGCAGAATATGCATGAACTTTCATGGTTCATTTAGCCAACTTTCATGGTCAACAGAATAATACATAAGTACCCAAATTTGTTCACTCTCTTTTTAAACAGGAATGATATACAAAATCTAACTTAGTCAATTTTCTTTTCTTTTTTTTTAAATATATAATATATATGTATATGTATATAAACAAGCTATCAGACTAGCATAAGTTACTTATCAGTCTGCATATATACCAAATGCAGTAATTTATGTAAGAAAAAAGTTTATTTGCAGAAAATCAAACATATGTTGCTCTAAATGTTTCTGGTATTAAGTCAAACATGCATAACATAAAATCCTTAATAAATTGAAAGAAAAATAATTTAACATACAGTTTAATGGGTGAAAAGATATTAAGTAAGAATCTTTTCACAAGTCATCTATAATTTTATATCATGAATGATAAAAGCTTGGGTGCCAGTGCTGAAATCTAATAATTAATTGCATTGCAATGTCAAAAGTACAAAACGTTTTTTGTAAATTTATGAAGGCCACCCCACGCTAATATTATTCATGATATTAAATAGTGGAGGAATTTTGTAAAGAGGTTTATTTAATATCTTTGTGTTCCTATTAAAATATACGATGGGTTATTTTTCTCTTTTAACTCGTTAACTTTCTTTTCAATTTTTTAATAACGGCTTATTTTATAGAAACCTTTTTTTTTTTTAGTTTATTTTTTTATTTACTTTGTTATAACTGAAATGCATACATAAACAATAATAGCTAGATTATTGTTACATAATAAATAACTTATCTGATTGTGCAACATTCAAATATAATTCTTTCTATTGTGTTTTTTCTAATATGTTTTCTTGACTGAATCTGTGTTGTTTTGTGTAGACTATTAGATTATATTTGCTTATTGGATTGGATTTTGTTTATTATTATTATTATTATTACTGTCATTAGAAATTACAGGTTTTATATTTGAAAATCATAACTTGAGGATAACTCTCTGAGTTATGTAAGTAATATGTTTTGTAAATGTTTGCGTAACTTGAATTTTTCTTAAGATGAATTTATGAATTACTGCAATATTTATTAACTTTATTAATAATATGTATAAGTATGTCTTTAAACATATTTGCTAATTACTCATTATTATTTTATAAATGAAACATCATGCAGCAGTATTTACTAGAGCATAAGAATATGAAATTGTATAAAAAGAATGCAGAAACAAACACTGAAATAAAACTTTTCGAATAAAAAAATCTTGTGACAACTAATATTGCTCTGCAGTGAAAAACTTAATAATTTGTACATTTTTTATTGTAAATCTTTTCTTATGTGTAATATTACTTTGTGAAAATTAGTTGTTTGCATTTAGTACTGAAGTAAATTCATGATTTATAATTTAATTAGTTATTAATATTTCATTGTAAATTCTTCAGTGAGCGTGCATTAGATTTGGTTTTGACCCTCTACAACTCATTCAGCAATGGAATATTGTGGCAAGGTGTATCTGGTCAGAAGCTTAATAAATTAGAGAAAAATACTTTTACACTTATTCCTTTGGAAGCCACAGCTGTGAGACCAGGACTCCAGGTGATTTATTTTAAACTTAATCTAATGTATTTTTTTCTAGAAAAGTTTATGAGGTGTAACAATTTAGTTCCTGGAATGGCCTATGATATTAGTTGTGTTGAAATCATATGAGTATTCATGATTTAACTTGTATAAAAACTTGTGCAGTTTTGAGCTAATAGCAGCAAATGTTATTTATTGCTAAGCTGACAGCTATTTGTGTATGCACTTAGGCATAAAATTTGGCAGTTGAAATATATGGCAGCTTATTAATATCAGATGTTGAGAGTGAAAATTAAAGTCTCTTTCAAAATATTAGAAGTAGTATTTGGTAAAGATACCATGAAAACATCAAGCATGTTTAAGAGACATAATTGATTCAGAGATGGGTTTGAAGATATGATGGAAGATCTTAATTCTCTTACTACTTATCCCATGATTTCCACCTGCAATGTAATTTTATCCTCTGTTTAAAAGTGCATCCTGCCTTTACCCTGTTTAATCATTGACAATGCATTTTCTACAACATTTATACTTTTAGTTGTGTTTTCGTCAACAGATAGCATTATTATTGTCTAAATTTTCATATTTGAAAAAAGTTCGCTAACTGACTTTGAAAATACTCTCACTGTTATTTTCTTCATCTTCTGTATTTGCTGTTATTGTCACACTGTTACTGTCACTGTTATTGTCACACTTCCATTTTTTTATATTCTCACTGTTATTGCCTGTTATTTTTTCTATTCAAAATATGACTTGCCGGAAACTTTCAGTGAGTGATAGAATGTATGTTCCTGATGACATTTCTGATATTGAAAGTGGTTTTAGTTATTTGATGTTATCTGAAACATATTGTTATTTCTCAGACTCATCTACAAATAGTGATGAATCTCAAAACGATTCAATAACCATCCAGAATGTTTGTATCTGCGCAGTCACTGTGGAATATGTTTGTATTTAAAAAAAAAAAAAAAAAAAAAAAGCATTTCATTACAAAAATTAAAGCTTCTGGAATTGAAAATGCAAATGATTGAGCAAAGTATCCAAAATTATTCAGATGGAGGTATATGCGATACACCTGGAAGACCTAATGCAACTCTGAACTCTTTGAGAATGACAGTTCATCATTTTGCAAGCCACATTCCTCCTAATCCCCTAAACTAGAGCCTTGCAGACAGTCTGCTGTTTGTTGCACAAAAAAAAAAAAAAAAAAAAAAAAAAAAAAAAAAAAAAAACTGCAGCTGGCAAAGAAATTCACTAAGAAACATGAATTTGGTGCAAAGAATGTGAAGTAGGACTTTGTCTAGAACCTTATTTTTAAATTTACCACACAAAACTGAATTTCTAGGATAATGCTTATAAATATTAAATATTTCCATTAGTACACATACTTTACTTTTGCATTTTGTAATGTAAATCATTAGCCTGGTGGAGCATGTCACACAGCAGCACCACAGGTCTGGGGTTTGACCCTGGGCTGGGCAAGGTTGACTCAGCCTTTGATCCATTGAGTGGGTTGATAAAATGAGTTCCAAGTTTGCCTGGGGACTAAACACCAGGGGCCCTTAACAAGCTGACCTCTTGTCCTGGGTATATATACTCATGCACTCTGGGGCCCACGGCCAAGAAAGCTGATATCTGGGCACTGCAGGCTAAGGTTCAATAAGGCTTTTGTGCCACTGAGTTTAGTTAAGTAGCGTAAATCATAATTTAATAAAAAGTTATTTTTCAAAATTTTGTGTTTATGTGATTACTCTTAAAATAGACTTTTGTGAAAGTCTAGTCATATGCACAAAATTTGCATAAAAAAATCTTGGTTACAAAAATTTGCTACTTTTTTTAACTCTCAAATACATATAAATTTGAAGTATGTAATTTTAAAAATATGCAATTTTTGAAGCCATTTTGATTTAAAAAATTGAGCAGTAAATTGTTAATAATGGGCAAACAAGCTATAAATGATAACAGACATATCGTATTTGACGGCATATAAGATACACTTTTTTTCCTAAATTTGGTCTCAAAAAAGTTACCTGCATCTTATACGTGAAGGTATTCAATAATTGTTTATTTGGCTTTTACGAAACGTGAGAACTAAAAGAAACCACGCTATTGAAACTTTTTTCCCTTGTGTGTGGCCGTCTAAATAAGGGTGCATCTTATATGCCAGTGCGTCTTATATGCTGTCAAATACTGTAAATATTAAGAAAGTGAAGGGAGTAGTATAGTCTAATTAATGCTTAAATGTGAGATCCATAGCTGAAAAATTAGAGGTGTATTAGAAAAAAACCGAAACTATTTTATACCTAATGCAATGTAATAAAGACTTAAGTAGATTTGTGTCTGAGTCATACTTACAATCAGAGCGAGCATTGGCATTGATGCAACTGGTGTGCCTGCACACTGTGTAGCAAAATTTTTAGAACTTAGGTTGGGAACTACAGAGAATTTGTTCTGGATAGCAAAAAGTCTAATGCCAGTCTTGCTGGCAGTATACTCTTTGTGAGAGATTTTCTAGCCAAGGAACTCTACCTTTCTACCCAATAAAATCACCATACCCGTTAAGACTTAAATTTCTGTGATTTATGGTTGTTTCCAGAATTTAAAGCTGCCTCAAATAGATGAAGATTTTCTATTGTAATTAATATCCAACAGAATATGAATTGGGTACTTAGTAATATTCTGGCAAACAAATTCTTGGTCTGCTTGCAGAAATGTAGAAATCATCTAAAAATTATACTGTATAAAGTGTAAATGATAGTGTAATTATAGTATACAAGAGGAGTGCTTTGGAGCTGAAACTACTTACTAGTGCACTGTTTCTTGTAAATATTTTACATGTGTATGCTAATAATTAAATAATAACATCTTGCATATGTTTATAATCTTAACCTGAGCATTGTTGATTTTCAAATCAAAATTATTTCAGCTCTGTATTTAATTATTCTGAATTTAATTTTATCTGAATATTTCAAATAAATCACTAGAAATAATTATAAATCCACTAGATTACCATTCTACATGTAGAGTAAATTTGGTGCTGTGTATCTGCTTATGCAAGAAGCCATATCTCGTTACAAGAAAATTTTTGTAAAATTAAGCAAGCTATTCATTTGCTGTATTTACTTACTAGGAAAAACAAGGATGACAGAATTCAAAGCTATGGATCGTGTTGAAAAACTATTAGGCTCTATGAATAAACTGACTGAATTTGAGTTTAGTGACATAACTTTGTGTGTCATTTGCTAAACTGTCAGAAAGAATATTGAATCTATTATATATGTGATGAGAATTCATAAACAGAAGATTAAAAGTTTTTTCTCCCTAAAGAAAAATTAAAAAATATATCGAAATTATTATCCAATTTATACATTTGTATTGGAAAGTAGAAATTTGATACTGCATGCCGATTTATTTTCCTTTTTTTTATAGCATGTGGAGAAGAAATGCAATTTAAGATGTGAAGAGAGGAATGCAATTTTGTAGGAGTTTATTGGGAAGCTCTGAAAATGAAATATCTAAGCATGGTATTACACAGCTATTGATAAAAAACATGATGTGTCAGCCAGAACTGTTTTCTAGGATATGTTCAACCATATAACAACTTGGGTTTAGGATTAATTAATGGCATACAAGCATTATGACATTGAGATGCACATGCCAACATAGATTAACTTATTCAAGTGTTTTATACTTTATTCATTTGTTAAATATTGAAGGGTTTTTTTTTTTTTTTTTTTTAAAAAAAGCTCAGAAGGGCTAATAATTTTGTTTTGGTATTTTGCATTAATTCACTATAAACGGCAAATCACGTTTCAAATTGTTGCCACCAAATATTATTGCCCTGTGTTATATTTAAAGAAATTAAATAATGAAGAATTTGCATAAATGTATGTACGAGGGCCATCCAGGAAGTAGATTACATTTCCGTCTGTGTCCGCTAGGGGCGGGGCTAGCGCGGCCATCTTGGGGTCAGAGCGTTGCGCAGCTCAGTCTGCATCTAGCCGTGCTAGTGAGAGGTTCGTGCTGTGCTCCGTTCAGATACTGTGACGGTTTGAAATGTCTGCGTTAATTGAAAATCCCGCGAGCTGCGAGGTGCGCTCAGTAATAAGGTTTCTGACTGCAAAAAACTGTAAACCGATAGAAATCTATCGGCAGCTTCGTGAAGTGTATGGGGACAACATTATCACTGAAGGTGGAGTGCGTCAGTGGGTCATAAGATTTCAAAATGGCCGAACCAATGTTCACGACGAAGATCGAAGTGGGAGACCCAGCATAGTGACCGCCGAACTTCTCGAAAAAGTCGATGCTAAAGTCCGTGAAAATCGAAATTTCACAATAACGGAACTTTCTTTGAGTTTTCCACAAATTTCCCAGCAATGAAGAAGTGGCTGGCTATGCAGCGTTTTGATGACGACGCACAGCTGCAAGAAGAGGTAACGAAGTGGTTGAAGGCGCAGGCGGCCGAATTTTTCGACGAAGGAATTTCCAAGCTCGTACATCGCTACGATAAATGCCTTAATTTGTATGGTGACTATGTAGAAAAGTAGTATTTGAGTGTGGCTTTCATCTGTATATAATAAAATTTGTTTCCTATACTTTGTTTATTTTTTTATTCCAAAACGTAATCTACTTTCTGGATAGCCCTCGTATGTTTCTCATATTGTGGTAAAACAACAGTATATGAGCCATCAAATTTAAAATGACATACAGCTCCACCCGAATATGGGCATCTGGAATCCCGAATTTGGAATTCATTTTATTATCAATTTCATATTTTGTAACTTTTTTACAAACTTTTGATTAACAAAATCAAGCAAGCAATTGCAACACCTAATGGGGGGGGAAAGAAAAAAAAAACATTTTTATCACCAGCGTGCGAGGCTGTGTATTGGAAATTCTAAAGATATACTCATTTAAAAATTATTTTACACTGTTGCTGTTAAATTGAATTTTATGGTTTTAAGTGTGAAGAACATAGTATTTAATAAATAAAGATAACACACTAATGAAGAATCTGC